GTGTCAGGTCCATGACCTGGAGATCTTTAGATGTAATTCCATCTGCTGCAGAATGGAGTTAGCCAACGTGACGGCTTACACAGGCTCAGACTGGGCTTGAGTGATCATGTCAATCTTCTATAAAGGGAAGAACAACAGAGGCAGAGTGCGGCCCCAAACTGCAGTGAGGGACACCATGGAAGAGAGATTCGGAGAGGTGATTCCTTGTGGGGATTTTTTTTTTAAGATTTATTTATTTATTGGAAGGTCAGATATACACAGAGGAGGAGAGACAGAGAGGAAGATCTTCCATCCGATGATTCACTCCCCAAGTGAGCGCAACGGCTGATGCTATGGCCGATCCAAAGCCAGGATCCAGGAACTTCTTTCGGGTATCCCACACGGGTGCAGGGTCCCAAGGCTTTGGGCCACCCTCGACTGCTTTCCCAGGCCACAAGCAGGGAGCTGGAAGGGAAGTGGAGCTCCCGGGATTAGAACCAGCGCCCATATGGGACCCTGGCGCATTCAAGGGGAGGACTTTAGCTGCTAGGCCATGCCACCGGGCCCCTTAATTTTTTTTTAAAGAGAAAGTTATGGGTCCAGCATGGTAGCCTAGTGGCTAAAGCCCTCACCGTGCACATGCCAGGATCCCATACAGGTACCAGTTCATATCCTGGTTGCTCTACTTCCCATCCAGCACCCTGCTTGTGGCCTGGGAAAGCAGTCAAGGACAGCCCAAAGCCTTGGGACCCTGCACCCGTGTGGGAAATCTGGAAGAGGCTCCAGGCTCCTGGCTTCACACCGGATCAGCACACCTCCAGCTGTTGCAGTCACTTGGGGAGTGAATCAACGGATGGAAGATCTTCTTCTCTATCTCTTTTCTGTATATCACTTTCCAATAAAAATAAATAAATCTGTTAAAAAAGATAAATTTATTTTCTGAAAAGGAGGGAGAACTGAGCTCTTCTATCTACTAATTCACTCCCAAATGTCTGTAACAGCTGAAGCTAGGACAGGCTAAAGCTAGGAGCCAACAGCAACTTTTTAAAAAATTCTTTTATTTTGGTAATCTTTGCATAGTTGATTAGGGCACAAAGGGTCAAGAGCTACAGGAAAGTAAGACCATTGTTTCCACATTGTTACTTTCTTCATCCGGGGTAAGGGAAGAGATAAAGGGAGAAGCCCCGCCCAGCCTCCCACCGATCCCAGGCCTCCAGTGTAGGGCACGTTCCGAGGGTCCTGCTCAAGCAGTTTTGATAGTTGAACAGTTCCGAATTGCTGTTAATCTTGCCATTCCAAGCACAATGAAATCTCTTCAGAATCCACTGGCTCACATAGTCTCTTCATGGTTGGGGTTCTGGGATCAGCAGTTCAGTTGGAGGGATCCCCAAAGAAACTTCATCTGAGGTGATCCCAGGTCTGATTCTTGTGTGTGCTTGCCGGTACAGGGGCCGGCACCAACCGTCGCCCCAATCAGCTTATGCACATGCTGGTTATTGTAATTGCTGTCTTCCTCATGAACCAATCGTTGTTGCAGTCCAGCCCGATCCTGCCCACCTCACACTCGGCCATCATGCAAACCAGTGGGAGCTGCAGCCTAATTGGAGCGACTCCCCATAATCCCACCAGGTCTGCCCCCTACCCTGGTTCCCATGCTTGCCACTATGTACCACAGACTTGTTCAGTCTGTCCGACATCCCATTTAGCTCTTGCACATGTCAATGGGCATTGAAGCCAACCAAACCTACTGTCCAGCCCACACAATATTGGCAGGTGCTGTTCTGTCTAGTCACCACTGCCCCAATCCCAACAGAAACTCAATCCAGATGTTGTCCATGGGTGGCAGGGACCCAAGTAATTGAGTCATCGTCTACAGTCTCCCAGGGTGCACATTAGCAGGGAGTCCACGGATGGAAAGCAGGAGAAGCAGTGGGTGGGGCAGCATGGGGGTCGTAAGCAAAAGCCTACAAAGTCAGCACCCAAAGTGATCACTTGTGGAGTCCTGGCTGCTCCACTTCTGTTCTAGCTCGCTGCTAGTGTGCATGTGAAAGCAGCGGAGGACCCAAGTGAGAGACCCAGAGGAGGCTACCAGCCTCTGCTTGGCTCCATTTTGGCTGTTGCAGCCAGCTGGGGAGCACCCTGGATCCCTAGCTCTGCAGCTCTGTTTTTCAAATAGAAATGAAGAATGAAAATCTTGTAAAAGAATAAAAAAGAAAGCTAGGCAGACACTGCAGCCCAGGTGCCGTTATAGGATCTGAGTAGCCTGACTGGTTTCACGACCTCTGGGAAACCGCACCTGCCCCTTCCCCTGGCTCCTGGGGGCCCCTCGGGGCTGCCTCTGCCTGTCTGGATTGAGAACCGCGCAGAGGGGCAGCCCAAACTTCATTTTAGATGTTTATTTATGTGAAAGTCGGATTTTTACCGAGAGAAGGAGAGACAGAGAGACCTTTCATCTGGTGCACTCCCCAGATGTCTGCCAATCTGAAGCTGGGAGCTTCTCTCTGGCTTTTCACACAGGTACAGGGTCCCTAGGCTTTGGGCCGTCCTCTGCTGCTTCCCTAGGACACAAGGAGGGAGCTGGATGGGAAGCAGGGCCGCTGGGACACAAACTGGTGCCCTTAAGGATTCTGGTACCTCAGAGGGAGGATTAATCTGGTATGCCACGACACCCCCGCACCCCATCTGGATTATTTCTTCTCCTTCATCTTCCTTCTCTTCTTCTTCTTTGATTTATTTATTTTTATTGCAAAGTCACATATATATATAGAGAGAGGAAGAGAGACAGAGAGGAAGATCTTCTATCCGATGATTCACTCCCCAAGTGAGTGCAACGGCCGGAGTTGCGCTGATCCAAAGCCAGGAGCCAGGAGCCGTCTCCAGGTCTCCCACACGGGTGCAGGGTTCCAAGGCTTTGGGCCGTCCTCGACTGCTTTCCCAGGCCACATGCAGGGTGCTGGATGGGAAGTGGAGCTGCCTGGATTATAACTGGAGACCATATGGGATCCTGGGCGTGCAAGGCGAGGACTTTAGCCACTGGCCACCATGACAGGCCTTAACGTGGACTTCTGGGCTGGACACTGAAGGCCTCTGGTAAGGTGGCACAGGCAGCGCTCCCCCCAGACTGCCTATCACCCACCTAAGAGGTGTGGATTCAGTTCCTGGTGGGGCAGAGGTGGAGTGGAGGTGAGCATTTGGGGAATGTTCTCTGTCTCTTCAATAACAAAAATGTAACAAAAAGCCCAACCCAGGGTCTAGCACAGTGGCCTAGTGGCTAAAGTCCTCACCTCGACCGTGTCAGAATCCCATATGGGCGCTGGTTCAAAACCGGTGGCCCTGCTTCCCATCCAGCTCCCTGCTCACGATTTGGGAAAACGAGTCAAGGATGGTCCAAAGCCTTGGGACCCTGCACCCACGTGGGAGACCTGGAAGAGGCTCAGGTTCCTGACTTCAGATTGGCGCAGCTCTGGTTGTTGTGGCCACTTAGGGAGTGAATCATTAGACAGAAGATGTTTGTCTCTGTCTCGTCTCTCTCTATATATCTCACCTTGCAACAAATAAAATAAAATAATCTTTAAGACGATAACAGCTGGAATGGTCTTCTGGCATTGTTGACTGCCTGTACACCATTCTGGCTGAGGAGACGGAAGTGATGTCAGTGTTCCAGAGTCAGCAAGCAGATACTGGAGTTGGGCTTTAAAAAAGGGGCCCAGCGTGGTGGTCTAGTGGCTAAAGTCCTCACCTTGAACGCACCAGGATTCCATATGGGCACCGATTCTAATCCTGGTAGCTCCACTTCTCATCCAGCTCCCTGCTTGTGCCCTGGGAAAGCAGTCGAGGACAGCCCAAAGGCCTTGGGACCCTGCACCCGTGTGGGAGATCCAGAAGAGGTTCCTGGTTCCTGGCTTCAGATCAGCGCAGCACAAGCTGTTGCGCTCATTTGGGGAGTGAATCATCAGGCGGAGGATCTTCCTCTCTGTCTCTCCTCTCTGTATATCTGACTTTGCAATAAAAATATATAAATCTTAAAAAAAAAAAAAAAGAAAGATGAGGACTTAAGCCGCAGCGCTGGGCCCCTAGCTATGCTCCCCGAGATGTGTCAGTGTCGCTCGGAACAATGCACCAAGGCACCTCCCTGGGACCGCCTACCCCTCTTGAGGTGGCTTCTGTTTGAAGTGCCATGTGTGCTGTTGCCACACTGAAGGGCACTGCCCAGAGGACCTGGGCTGCACCACAGCCTTTCTCTTGTGAGGAAGTCAGGGACACGCAGAGAGTTAAACTTTGGGGTGCCCTGGAAGCTTATCCTCCAGCCGGCATTATGAACCGGGAGCCAGCATTTGGCTCCACCTGCCTCCCAGCTCGTCCCGTTTCTAAGCCCGGCTCCTGGTTCCCATCCCTCCCACGAGTCCTTACGAGTCCAGAGGCCCCAGGAACAATCCGGGGACAATGCCCGGTGCAGCCATTCAGCTGAGGCTTTCTGGAGTTGGGGTGTGCCTCTGAGGGGGGTAGCTATGGAGTGCCCGCACCCCCAAGCCATGGCCACAACTTGTCTTCCTTCTCCAAAGTGGGGGAACCTGACTTTCAAGGACTGACTTACAACATACCCATTTTAACCATGTTTTATTAAAAAAAGAAAAAAGAAAAGAAAACCCAAACCAATTAATCAACCAATTTACTCAACCCAAGAACTCCTGGTTCCCGGGGTCCAGGAGCAGCTTAGGTCTCTGGGGGAAGTAGAAATCTGGAAGACGGACAGTTTGGTGGCGGGGTGTGTGTGTGAGGGGACAGATAGGAAAAGCAGCCCTACCCCCAGGGCGCAGCCACTTGGAAATCTCGGTGAGGGCTCAGCCCCCAGGGGGGTAAAAAGGGAGGGGTAAGGTGGACGGCTAGCCTGCAGAGCCCTTGTCAAGGTCATCCGTTGGACGGGAGGGCCGTCTCTTGGAAAATGAGGCTCAGGAAAGGAGCCGCACCCCCAAGTTGGGAGCAGGACGCAAGCCCTTCAAGGAAGGGCGAGCCCTGACTGGTCCAGGAGGCAGGTGAGCAGGACTCAGGGGCCTTGTTCCTGGGGCCCGCGGGGCAGCGCTCGGACGGGCCGAGGTGGCGGTGGGTTGTCTAGGATGGGTTCTGGCCGGGGCCGCGCGCCTCCCCGGCGCTTCTGTTTCCTCAGCAGGTAGTTGGAGTACTGCACTTCGGGCATGGCCAGCTTGAGGCAAGCCTCGGTGGCAGGCCCGCTGCCCGCCGGCAAGTCGTAGCCCATGATGTCCACCTTGCGGCTGGGCTGCCAAGGCTGCAGCTGCTTGGTGCGGATCTGCGCGGCGGGCCGCAGCACGGGCTCGTCGCCGAAGCAGCGGCGCAGCAGGCGCTGGCGGGCCTCGCGCAGCTCGCGCGCCTCGCGCTCCACACACGCGCGGCCGGCCCGCGCCACGCGCCGCCAGAAGGTGGCATTGAAGTGGTCGTAGAGGCCGGCGTCGAGCGCGTTCCAGGCGCGCGCCGCCCGTGCCAGCGCCGCGGGGATGGCGGCCAGGCGCGAGGAGGCGGCGCGCGCGTTCAGCTTGGCGTACAGCACGTCGTCCAGGTCCCAGGCTAGCAGACGGCGCAGCAGCACGAGCGACTCGTCGAAGTACTCGGCGATCATGACGAGCGAGAAGACCTCCTCCACCTGGCGGATGAGGCCGGCCAGGTAGGCGGCGTCGTCCCGCGGGCTGCGCTCGTTGTCGCCGCCCAGGTCGTAGGCCAGCGTGTTGTGCGCAAACATGGCGAAGTGCTCGCCGGCGCGGTAGTAGGCCTCGGGCGCCCGCAGGAAGGCCTCCAGGGACGCGTTGGGCACGCGTCGGAAGGCCGGGCAGTACTGGTTGTAGTAGCTGAAGAGGGACTCGAACATGGCTGCCGGCTCTCGCAGGATGGTGACATAGACCGTACCGGGTGGCATGAGGCGCGCGAGCTCGGCGCGGTCGAAGCGCAGGTGGCTGGCCAGCATGTGCGGCGGCCGCGTGGCCGGGTGCACGAAGTGCGCCGAGAAGTTGCGCGGATAGCAGAATTGGTGCTCGCAGCTCGGGTGCGGCAGGGCCACCGTCAGGTTGTGGCGCTCGGCGAAGCGGAACAAGATGTTCTGCACCGTCGTGCCCGCTGTCTTGTGCGTCTTCAGAAAGGCCACGGTCATGTGCTTGGGGCGCAGGGGCGAGGCCCGCAGGGGTGGGCAGCTCAAGGGGAACAGCTTGGGGTACCTGGAAGGGTCGATGCGGGATACGTGGAGAGGCAGGTGTCAGAGACGGACTGGCCGTCCTGGGGCTCCCTGTAGCCCCTGGGATTCCCGCTGGCCTCCCGGAACACATGCCCCTTGACCTCGTCTCCCTCTGGACTCTGGGATGGAGTCAGATTTGCAGGATCAGAAAGTAGAGCAGAAACGACAGCACCTTGCTTGCAACAGCAATGGCTTCTCATTCAGCCCGCAGAAGGCAAGCCATCTCACGGTCAGCCACCCCCCAGGGAGGTAGCAAGATGGGACAACACCCCTAGGAAACCGAGGCTGGCTGTCCAGTGTCTAGGCTTGGAGCATGGAAGGGGGACGGGCCCCCCAACCCCGACACACTCCAGTAAGCCTCCACAGGGCGCTCTTCCAGTGCAGCCAGCCTGCAGGTACGGCCACATCCCCAGCTGACACCCTGGCTGTGTCTGGCAAAGTCTGCCCCAGAGGGTCCCCAGAAAGCCACACCTGGGCTTCTGGTCCCCGGAAACCATGACAATGGTTTGAGTGTGTTGTTCTCAGCTTCTGCACACTCCAGACACTTGATTCACGTGGGAGTAGATTACAGGCGAGCGCCCTGGCAGAGCTCTGCTTCTCAGATGTAGCTACGGGAGCACGTGGGGAAAAGCCACCCACAGCACGTCTGGAGTCAGCCCAGTCCCCAGATCCTCTTCCGCCTTACTCTGTAACCGGCTCCTCCCTGTGCTGCTACAGGGGCGTTTGCTGGAGGGTTTGTGTTTCTGCTCAGGTTTGTGGGGCCTCCTGCACTCGCCAGGCAATCGCCTCTGGAGCCTCTCACTATTTCCAGGATATTGTCTTGGGCTCAAGATACCACAGTGTTCAAAAAAGATCTTTGGGGACCAGTGAGGTAGCTCATCAGACTAACCTTCCACCTATAGCGCCGGCATCCCACATGAGCACTGGTTTGTGTTCCGGCTGGTCCACTTCCCTTCCAGCTCCCTGCTTGTGACCCGGGAAAGCAGTGGAGGACAGCCCAAAGCCTGCGTGGGACCCTGTGTCCATGTGGGAGAGCCAGAAGAAGCTCCTTGCTCCTGGCTTTGGATTGGCTCAGCCCTGGCCATTTGTGTTCATTTGGGGAGCGAACCAGAGGATGAAAGATTTCTCTCTGCCTCTCCTTGTAAATCTGCCTTTCCAATACTAATTAATAAGTCTTAAAAAAAAAAAAAAGCTGATCATTCTCGTACATTCCTGAAGGGCGTTTGGGGATACTGGGGCCCAGGGGGTCTGTGTACATCCTGATTCCCCCTTCCTTCTAAGCTGAAGTGATGCGCAAACCCTGTGCAGCCCTGAGAACGCCCTGGGCTGCCTGCCTGGGGCTGGTGTGGGTTCAGGCTAGCGTCCACTCAGACATCCCTTGGAAATCCAGCACATTCCCTGCAAGGGGGTCAGAGTCCACTCACACTGCTTCTAGAGGAACACACCCTAGGAAAAATGGGGACCCTGAGGCCCAGAGAGGGGCAGAGAGTGAAGCAGGCTAACTTGCTGGGTCACTTGTAACAGCACCCTGCCAGGCACCACGGAAGCCGTGACAAGTTGCCACTGTTCCCTGCTGCAAAGCCCAGGGGAGACGGCTGGATTCAAATCCCAGCCCAGTCTGATCAACTCTGCAAAACTGTGAGCCAGCCCACGGAATCTGTGTGGCCCTAAAAGGAATATAGACAGCAAGAACTTTCAGGACAGAGGGACGGAGCAAGGCCCGGCAGAATGCCTCTTTGGGCAGGTGCACGAATGGGCAGGGGAGCGGCGGGTTCCATCGCTAATCCAGTCCGACCCAGTCCCGGTCCCCACTTACCAGCGGAGCTGCGCCCCCTGGTGGATGAGCAGGCTCACGGTGCTGGCGCCCAGCAGCAGCAGCAGCATCTTGCGGCGGCTCATCATCTTCACGTTGTGCTCCAGGTGCTGGAGGACGGTAGGAGGCACGGTGGGAGCACTCACCCCAGCACCAGCGTGGGGCCTCACTAGCCAGGATTCCCTTGGCCAGCACTCATGGGGGCTCCTGGGGCTCTGGTAGCAGGGCCAGTGTTCCCGAGTACCCTGGCAGGAGAAGGAGGCAGACAGGTTTGTCCTGGGCAGAGGAGATGGGCTCTGAGCCCCAGCAGGGCTGCTGCAAAGGAGAGCCCCAGTGAGTGGGGTGAGCCGAGAGGCCGGGGCAGATCAGATTGCTGGCTACCATGACCAGAGCCTGTCTCCTCACAGATAGCCTGGCCTGGGGTGGAATTACAGGGCCTTGGGTGGGGCTGGCCCTGCAGGCCCTGGCCACTCCCACCCTGAGTCCCATCTCCAGCATTCTCTGACCCTCTTTCCTCTTTGTCTCCCGGTTGTGTGTATCTGCCACCTGACAGACTGGCCGCAGTGTCACACTAACTCGGCTAAGAGCTCAAGAGTCCCAGCCCCAAGTGTCCCATCCTGTGGGACACCCTCCCCAATGGGTCCAGCCCAGGCTGGTCTGGCTGCCCTCCTCATGGAGGCTCCCAGTGACACTCCGAGCCTTCCACGGTGACAGTGTCATTCACTGGGCAGTCAGTCCCTGCACAGAAATTGCTCCCACCTCATCTGTGACGAAACCACAGCTCTAAGAGATGGCAGAGGTGACGGACACAGTGGTGAAAGGCAGAATGAAGGCTCACACCTGTTCTTCCTTGCTCCACAGTCCATAGACCCCGTTTGTGCGTGTGTGTGTGTGCGTGCACGTGTCCCCACCCCTGCCTTGGATGCTGGAAGTTTTGCAACCCTTAGCTCTGCCCCACCCCTCCCCTGTGCCCCCACCATCTGAGCTCCTGCCCTTTGGGCCCAAGACCAAGAAGTCCACGAGGAATAAAAGGGACTTGAAATCCTGGAACCCAACGTGGATTCCATCCCCAGACACCTGAAACCTAGGTGGCCCCATGGGGTGACGGCAGCTCAAGGTGCGTGGACAAGGCACTGGGCTGGCAGCCTGGCAGGGTTGGGGGCTCCTGTGTACGAGTGGGCCTGCTGAGAATCTCCAGGAGGGGAGCCCTCATCCTAGGTGAGTGGCAGGGAAAGAGAGAGCTGTGGCAGAAGGGCCTGGTGTCTGCCCGAAGCCCAGGATGGCCTCACCTTCAGCAACTGAATTGAAGAGTTGCTTAGGCAGCTGTGCCTAGACCAGGCTGGGCTCCTGGCTCTTCCCACGGGTCTGTTGCCAAGCCCTAGACAAGCCCTCTCACCCCTCTTCCAAGGTGAGGTGGCAGGGGACCCTTGTGTGTGTAGGTGGAGCTGGGGCGCTTGGGTCCCAGGAGGGGTGAGGCAGTGTGTAAACCCTGGGGCCTCACCCCACTCACCCTGGGGTCTGGTGCCTTCCTCCCACTAACTCTGGATCATATGTAAACATGGCTGCATGGAAACGTGGCCCTTCCCCAGCTTCCTGTCTCTCCAGGGCTCAAGGGTGTGGCCCCAGAGAGTGACGGGGGCATGGCAGAGGAAGCCAAGGCCTGCCTTGGCCGCGTGGGGCTGGCTGGGCAGAAGAGGGCTGCCTCAGCCTTGGGACTGCTAGCAGGAGGAAGGCAGAGCGCCGGCCCTCCCAGGATGCACTTCTTCCCTTTGCTCTTCATCTTGCCCGACAGCCTTGCTGCACAGATGGGACCAAGGGAGGACAACTTTGGGGAGTGAGGGTAAGTCTGTTCTTCTCCCACCTTTGCTAACCTTGCTAAATGCACCCTGGTTTCCACAAGAGTCAGGTCAGCCCAGGAGGTGCAGTGCCACCATGACTGTCCTTGGGGGGAAGAGCTACAACAGCCACACAAGGAGGTGCCAGGTGCCTGCCTCACCCCTTTCCCAGCCTCCCCTCCGAGGCAAAGCTTCAGGGAGCTGGCCAGATGCCGTCCAAGACCTGCTTGGGAACCCCCTGGCCCTGCTGCTGGCCACTCATGGTGCCAGGGCTACTCACTGCCCACCTGCAGCCTGGCTCGGTTCCTTCCGAGCGGCCTTGGCTATCCCAGCATCCTCTCTGGGACAGCCGGGCTCACCCCAGCACTGGCCCCTCGGCCTCCGTGTTGCTCTGCTGCTGACGCCGCCAGGAACACGTGGAGCATTTTCTCCCTGAGAGACCTTCAGGTATTTGGAGCAGCGACCCAGTCCCTGGGGGGAGTGCTGGGCTGAGGCAGGCATTCCAGGGCCCAAGAGAGTGAGTGTGGAGCCAGCGCTGAATGAGGCCTAGTTTCGTCTTCCTCTTGCCTTCCTGGGCAAGCTCCCTCAACTAGGGATGCACCTGGCACGGGCAGTCAGTTGGGGGTGGGGAGGGCTCCATGTGTCCCTCCAGGTGGGGAGCCAGGCCTTGGGCAGTAGCCCTGGTTCCTGCCTGGGGGCCTCAGCTAGCTCCCCCACTCCTGGGTGATATCTGTGGAGATAGGTCCCCCCTCCAGCCGTGCACTGGCAGGTCGAGGTGCCAGGCTCATGAGAATGCCTGTGCTAATTTTAGTCAGAACCGGCTACCACAGGCGGCTGCCTGGCTTTGCAGATCGCTTCGCTTTCCTCAGGGAAGCCCAGGGCCTTCTGCCTCAGGCCTGGATGCCTACCTGCTCCCAGATGAGCCCTCTCTGCCCTGTCCAGCCAAGCTCCAGGGCCAACTGGGATGCACTTGAAGGAGGGGGTGCCCTGGCTTGGACCATGCGGGTGCAGGGCCAGCCTCCGGGTGGCTTTGGGTCTCTATCCTGACTTGAGGGATGGCACAGACCCAGCCGAGAGGGAAACTGACCCAGGGCACTGGAGGGGAGGGGCCAAGGGTTGAGGGCACTGCCAGTTAGTGGGCTAGAAGATCAAAGAGCTCCCCACCCCCAGGTCCCCCAGCCTTCTCTCTCTCAGCCACCCCCATAGCTTCTTCCCTCCAGACCCCCTTTATTCTGTTCTCTCCATCAATGCCCACTCCCACCCCATCCCCCTTCCCTTGGTTGCATCCTAGCCTCCCCAGGGATAGGCCAGACTTGTCTCCCCCCAACCTGATCCTCCCTGCAACCCCCTCCAAGGAGGAGAGCGTCCCTCCACATGGCTCTCCCGCCTTCCTCACGTCCCCCACCCCTGGCCAGTCAGTCTCCAGCCCTGGCCCGCCACTGCAGTACTCACGCCGCGCGCGCTTCGGCGGGGCTCTGCCTGTGACTCGCGTCCCGAGTGGTCGCCCCTGCTTTTTGCCTCTGGTCCGGGAAACCCGCACGGGGTCCGAGGGCGCCCTGGCCCTGCACGCCGAGCGCGGGTCGCTCGCCTCACCGCGCCAGCATGGGATCAGGTGGCGGCGTCTGCTCGGCTCCGCTCCTCTCGGCTCTGCCCGCCCCCCGCCCCCCATCGCACACCGGAGGCGGGGCGGGGGCCGGGCCGCGCAGGAGTTGGGGGAAGGGGATAGGGATCTGGAAGGGGAGGGGGTACCCATCTGCTGGCGGCTGCCAGCGAGCTCTCTGCGGGTGGCATCTTGGCAAGCAGGCGCCTTTCTGGGGCAGCGCTGGATAGGCGGACACCCATGTGGACAGCTCCATTCACTCCCTCAGCAAAAAGGAAACTGAGGCTGCAGGGGCGCCCTCCTGGGCCCCACAGGTCCTGCTGGAGCCAGGATGAGGTGGAGCAGCAGCAGATGCACTTACAGGCAGGCACAGGCTCTCTTAGCCCAGTGTCTGTCCCGGGACGGTGCGCCTGAGGCAGATCCCTGCAGCTCGCCCACACCAGCTCCCGGCAGTGGGGGCAAGCTGGCGGAGTGGAGGAACACTCCAGACCGGAAAGCAGTGGGAGACCGGCACCAGGAGCCCGCTGCTTCCTGGGGTTGAGGGCCACTTCTGTGGCTTCACGCTGTAAACTGGGGCACCCAGAGCCCTCAAGGTGAGGGCAGTGGCTGGCCGTGGTGGGTGAGGGGGGAACCTTCTTTCTGCTTTGCTCTGAACTTGGGAAGGCAAAGATGCTGGAGCTGGGCACTGTCACCCAAAGCTGGGACCCGAATGGGCAGGGGCAGGTGCCCCCTCTCCCACCCAGAGGCCACAGGTGTGACAGTTCTTGTTGAGGAGGATGGCAGGGTTAGTCTGGCCACTTGGGTCCATCAACTCCTGTCACCCTTCTTGTGTGTGTGTGTGCACGCGCAGCGTGCACATGTGTGTGGAGGGGGTCCCTCCTGCTGGTGCGATCCAATGAAGCCAACTGTGTGTCCTGCGGTGTGTCCTGCTCTGGCCCCACTCTGTTACTCTGTTTCTGCCAGTTTACCCTCCTCCCCAGGTGTGCATACGCCTCGGTGCCCGCAGCCTCAGACGACCTGCCCTGGGTGGGCTCTCAGGTTGCAGGGAGCAGAAAGGGCCTTCCTCTAGAAGGTTCCGCCTGCCTGGGCTGATGTTCCCAAGGGAGAGGCACCACTATTTTTTTTTTCTGTCCTATTATGTTTTTGGCTTCTCTTCTGGGAGCAGGTACCAGGGGTGGGGATGGGTCTGGGCTTGGGGGAGAGTCAGGAGAACTTCCCAGCTAAGGTGGTGAGCCCAGCTTTCCCAGCCCAGGCCTTCTCTGTTCTCTCTCCCGAACCCCACTTTTGTGTTATTTCCCCTACTCTCAGCTGTTTCTCCTTTGGGGGCAGTTATTGAAATGGAGCTTGCCAGAGAAAAGACCTGAAGTGTGTGTGAGAGAAACTGTGAAATGAGGCCATTTCCGTCCTCCAGAGCCAGCGGCAGAGGTGGAAAGGGAGATAGAGCGGACGGGCAGGCCAGGCCGGCATACGTCCATCACCTGTGGCACAGGGAGTGTGGGACCAGGGAAGAAGACTGGGGCGGGGGGAGGGGAGATACAAATGTCCAGGAAGGCTTTTTCAGGTCTTTATCACCTCTTGATCGCCAGCTGCTGCCAGACAGGAAAAGAGGAAGCCCCCTGCTCGCATTGTTAGGTGGTTGGAAGGGAGAGCGGCCTGGACTGGGCCTCGAAGGTGTCACAAGGGGCTTCAGTATTGTCCTCCAGCTGGAGCGCCTCTCTCTCGGGCTCCGATCCCCTTTCAGCCCATTCTTCCGCGCCAGGGCCGAGGGTTGGCCGGAGACAATCAGACTCTCTGTCCGCCACCGGCTTCGGCACCCAAAGGTGCGCGCCACAGCGGGGAAGCGGCCTCCCGGG